ACTAGTGATGACTCATGAACTTGAATGTTGTGAACAGGGGGAAAACATGTTGCGAGAATAACTTTATTTTATACTTAAAAGGACTTAAATATTATATTACTCAATAATATCAATATAAGATATAGAAAAATATTTTAGATCTCAAAATCCAACCCATGAAGTTCTCCAGTAACAGAGGATGCATCAGCGAAAGAAAATCCAGATTGGAAAAAATATTGACCACAAAATAATACTCCTCCGGTCCTTAATATAAGACTCATTTAACTAATTTGATTAGATTAAGAAAATTATATAAGTTAGTTAATTATAAGAAATGTGACACGTTTTTCCTAAAACACCATAATCATTTTTCTTAATACTCACTCTCCCTCTTCTACTTAATTATGGTTGAGAGAGTATCTATAAGGGTAATTTAGAAAAGATTGATAAATATGAGAAATGAGTCTTATATTTAGGATCAAAACCAACTCAACAATTGGGTCCTATATTAAAGATCGGAGGAGTATTACTTTCCATATTAAATGTATACGTTAGACAACTAATTAATAAATATTAAAAAATTAATTAAGTTATTTTTTACCAAAACAAAAAACTTATTGGCTTCCCTATATTGCCATTTTAATCATTTACATGTAGAATTACTCCCTGGACGATAAATTCTCTTATATATGCAATCAAGAGGAACAGTTTAGGGAAAAAAATTATTTGTAAGATAAAATAGATTAAAGTCGTATATTTAGTATCAAAACAAATCTTTATATTGAGTCTTATATTTAGAACTAGACAAACTATGATGCTTATAGCTAAAAAAAAAAAGAAAAAAACTCAGTCTAAATTATGAGGATTATTTTATGATGTGAGGCTTCATATTTAGTATGGACCCGCAGATCATTACTCATCTATGTTTTGGTGGAGTCATGGAAATAACATAAGACAACCTAGCAGTTGCATTCCAAGGAATATTTTCCGCCGTATTTCCTATAATTACTTTTTAATTTTTTATTCATTTATTTATTCCTTCCTTTCTTCTAATCTATGTGGGGTTTTATTGTTGTTCATGTGAGTTATGGGACAAACATTATTCTATTATGGGAAGATTGGAATTTTTTTAATGAACACTTTAGCATTTAGTCCTTTTATTTATATTTTATAGCGTCTTCTTATTTTAGGACCCTTTCCCCATGATGAAATTATAATTTATATTTCTGTTGTCTTACCTTTCTCATCGTTGAGAATAACTTTCGCCTTACGCTAATTAATAATAGTCACTTTTTGTGGACAAATATGATAGATTTCTTAAAATATATTATCTCAATTTTCATGGATTAAAAGTGTCAATATGCTAAATAAAAATAAATAAAAACGGTCTAAGATTTATTAAGCGAATGAATCTTGTGCCTTCAACTTTTTTGACCATAGTTTTATACGTATTTTTTTAATTAATTAAAAACATTATTTGACTGGATCCCATAAATTAGAGATAAAAATTGATAATATTTAAATTATATATATTTTTAATCAATTCTTAATATGAATACAATTTTTTTATACTTTGAAAGAATTATGTGGGAGCATGTACATTGTACCATAGAGAAAAAAGTTGCTCATAGTCTGTAAATAGAACAATTATTTATTTAATTATCTTTTTTGCCAACAAATAGCACAATTATTTATAAATTGTATAGTTTATATGTATGTTGATACTGATGTGTACCTTGTAAATATTTATTTTTAACAATGCATTCATATTTTTTATATTCTGAAACAATGTGAACCTCGGGTACGTTTATTGCTGATCATATAAATTTTAATTTTTTAATTTTTATATAAATTATAGTTCTATGGTATTATTTAAAAAATTATATTTATTTAATACTGATATTCATTGAATTTAAACAATTAGAAAATTTACAAATTAAATTTAGATCTACGAAAACTCATGGGATCCAAACAAGTTACAAGATGGGAATAGCTGTTACGAGCGAATATATATAAATTTGTGTCAATTTTCAAAGATTGAATTCAATTAAAAATTAATATCATTATAAATCAATGTACAACTTATTACAATTTACAAGGGGCATTTCTGCAAACCATAAATGATATGAGATCATATTTCGTATATCGTATGTGAAAAATACATTAAAATTGTATCTAGCTTAACAATTTTTTGTACACAACATACATGAATTTTAAAAATGACCTTTTTCACAAAAATAAGAAATAAAATGATCTGATATTGTTTTGTTTTTGTTTTGTGTTTTTTTTTATAAAAAAAGTAGCTTCTCAAACTCATGCGTAAATATGGACTGTACAAAAGTGCCAAGGTACAGTATCGCATTATTGGGTGGCAAAAAACAGGAGAGGTCGGGCCCACAGAGAGACGTGAATCCATTGTCTAATGTTGTTTAATAATTGGCTTCATAAACATATATGCCCCACACTCACAAGACAACTTTGCATGTGAATTCCCATTAGCAAGATGACAATTAAAGACCTTATAAAAAACATATTGATGATAATTAAATTCCTTAAAGTATAGAAATTCAAACAAAAAATCATGTCTTTGGATAATAAAATAAATAAACAAATACTTGTCTTATTCTAAATGTAGGAGTTAGTTAAAGATCAACTTGATTTTGATTCTAAATATAATATTTTAATCTATTTCATTTATCATATTTATTTTTTTCTTAAACTAATTTGTTTAAGTTATAAAAAGATATACTGCCTCTAATCTTAATTATAAGACTTTATTTGTAGTTTACAAACAAGGTTTTATAATTATGATTGGAGGTAGTATAATTTACTATCATATAAGAGTAATTTACAGAGATCATGTCAACTTTTCTAAAAGGATAGAGATGCAATTTTACTGCAAATCTTATTTCTCAAGTGTAATTTTACTCACGATTTTTTTAGTGGTACAATTTTATCCTAACAGTAAGTTAATATCAGATATTATTTCCAAGTGTGATGCGAAATATTTTCAACTTATTTTTCAGCTTTTAGCAATCATAAATTCATTTTAGAATAATAATTAAATCTTAAAATGCTTTAATGACCCAATGTCTTACCTCGCAAAATTTAAAAAAAATTTAACTTATGTTTCAGTTTTCGATAGTCATAAATATAGTTCAGAACAATAATTAAGTCCAAAGCTCTAACAAGTACTATTTTCGACTGGCAAAAAAAAAAAAAAACTATTTTCAAGTGGAAAACATTTTTTCAATTAACTTGTAAGTGGATGGATTAAAAGTATAAAATAATTAAACTTAAAAAAGCATCGACCTTCGACCCCCATATGGGAAGACTATTCAGTAATCTTAAGAAAACTTACAAAATTAAAAAATCTTATTAATTGTTTTGAAAAAAGTAAATTAACAAATAACAAGGCATCACTGCATGATAAAAATGATATTGTTTATGATGTTTTTATATCATATATAAATATATGGATTACTATTTTATTAAAATATAAAAAATACTTTTTGCCATAAAACTATCACACTGTTATGTTATTTTGTAATATACTTTCCTACGGTTTCCATTCTTTATGTAATATAAAAATCTTATAAAACTACAATTTTCATCGTTTATAAACATTATGACACAATTTAAATTTCGTATAAACTGAAAGCCAACAATAATCTAGTAAATCATGAAAATACGTTGGGGAAAAAAATAAAATCATTAAACTACTAAAAATCTAATTAAAAAAAATCTATTGCCCATTTTAGCACTTAATTCCACCAGGATTGAACAGTACCTGTATATGCCTCTCATCTTTGGAGTTCAACAAGTGGACTAAAATTTTTAGGGTCTTTTTTTATTTCCTTCGGTTACCTTTTTAGGATTTAAAAAATAGTAAGTTGACTCGAGAAAATAATTGTAGCTCAAGCATTAAAAAAAATAAAAGTAATGTCTTTACCCAAAGTGGCAGAGGTAATGCTCTAATCAACCAAGATTTCTCTCAATGCAATTTAAGGGACAACAAAACTATAGTGGATTCCACTTGTCATCAATCCAAAACCCTAGTTTGTATATTTTCCCCAGATTATACGGATTGATAGGATTGAAAAGGATACATACTACATGATGTCTTTGGGATTGCTGTGTAGTGCTTTCCTTCAAGAGAGATTATATGGTCCTTACTAATCTCTTTTCTTTAAAAAACAGTTTTGAAGGATAAAATTTTAAGTTTTTAATTAACTTTCTTAATAAAAAATGATCAACTATATTATATGCAAAAAAGTACATAAAAATAACCGCACACCGTACAACAAAATCAAAAGAAAATTTACAATGCATGCCTGCCATGGAAGGCAACTCTGAAGCGAGAAAAGACCAATACATGCCGAAGAATTAAATTAATTACTTAAGTTATATTATTGACAAAAATATTCATGACAAAAGAAATTCAAATATCAATATATTATAAATTTTAAGCATATACAAAAAACGATATTATATATATGCATGATAAAAATATAAAGCATGGGTATGACTATTTTTAAGAACAGCACTAAAATTGTATAATCATTTGAAATAAAAAATTAATATATTGTAAATTAGGAAAAGCATACTATGCTTTCTCACAGTTTTTTTTATCAAGATTTTTTTTTCATCACGTCAATTAAAGTAATAACAATTTAGAAAATTTTGATTGATGCCTTACTATGTATGTGTATGTGTGTAAATCAAATAAACTCTCAATTAATAAGAAGTATTTAAAAGAAAAAATTACAAGCTGTGCTAAAGTGTGAAAACTAGATAACCTTGTAAAGAAGAAAAGTATGACCCGGACAGTAAGTGAAAAACAAACACACACCAATCACTGTTGAATTAATAATAGTACTACGGGGATATATATATATATATATATATATATATATATATATATGACCCTTATCCTACAGAGTTCATAAAAGTGGCTAAATTCCTCTCTTATCAAAGCTCTTTATTTTTTTATTTTATCAAAGCCATTGAAGAGCTCTTCAGCACTGAGATTCTATCACTTTCCTTCACTTTCTCTCCATCTCTCTCTCATTATAAGGACACTCCCTCGTTCTTTCTCTCTGTCTCTATCACTCGCTCTGCAGATTGGTATATACCCAGAGAAGAAGAAGAAGCTGCAGAGAGATCATCGATCGCCATGGGAGGGAAGCTTAGCAAGAATGGAGGAGAAGGAGGAAGGTACTATTACAGCTGCGAGAAGGAAATGATGAATCTGAAACACAGGGTGAAGGTTCTGCAAGAGGAGATAAAGAGCGTGATGGCGGAGAGGGAGAGAGAGTACATGAACTGTGAGAGAGAGATAATGATGTTTGCTATGAAGGAGACTGAGTGGAGGAGAGAGAAGGAGAAGCTGAGGCAGGAGGTGGCGCAGCTGAGGAAGACGGTGGAGGAGAGAGAGGAGAAGATAAGAGAGATGATGAAGAGGGACAAAATGGGAATAATGGAAAAAGGTGAGGATAATAGTAGGAAAGAATGGGAATTAATGGGGACGAAGCTTCTGGTTGAGAAGATGAAGGAGGAAAGAGCAAGAAGAGATGAAGCTGTAGAGAAGTGGAAACAACTTTATCTGGAAATTAAGACTGAGTTGGATGACCTCATTCAGAGAACTTATAATGGTATGTGTATATCTGAATCAGATTCTTTTAGATTTGAGAATTATTATAATTATGTGTAATCGAGTCCGTTTCAGTCTACCCAAGAGATTTGGGCAAATTAAAGTTTTTGCATTTTTAGGTGTAAAGAGATTCAATTAAAGTAGTTAAGGAGCGGCAATTTTGGTTTCTTGAATTTGTTCGTATTTATAAGAGGCACTAATAACTTGTTTGAAATCGTTGGTATCATTTTTTATTATTACCTCATTAATTATTTATTAATTCTACTAAATTAATTATTCATGCTCTTTCACATTCATACTCGCCCTCTATAATTAAAGATGTTTTTGAAAACATAAATTATATTTTTCTTACATATTTCTTATTTTCAATTGATTCAACTTTTTAATTTATGAAGTTCAGTTATTTGTATTTCACAAACACACCGGAGAGAGTAATGTTTCCAGAGCTTAGCTGAGTAATGTTTATGTTGAACTACAGAATTTCTGGAAAGTAATTATATGAGTTGAACATTTGTATGTTTCTTTTTAAATTAAATTAAAAAGGCACACATTAATTAATTGATTGAACAGATTTATAGTATTTGCATTATTTTGTGCTTGAGTTCACCCTTTTAGGTAATAATTTTACTTGGCATTCCCTTAACTATCATTGCTTAATTACAATGGTACGTCTGTTCCTATTAATTTTTTTGTTTTAAAATAACTTTTTCTTTTACGGATTTACATTTTTTTTCCTTTCACTCTATTCTATTCGATATGCAAAAACAACCCAACACCTACCCGTAACTGTAAGTTGATTTTCCGTTTCAACTAATTAAATTAATAAATTCAAGCATTCAGTAGTTGGGAGGTTGGTTGCCTTTCACTGTCCTTCTTTTAAGTTAGCCTTGAAAGAAGAAAATGTACCATTGAATTTTTGCGTGTGTATTTTTCCAGAAGCCTAGATCCCTCATACAGCTTTATATACGAACCATTCAATGTAAGTTTCAACAAAATAAATTTTTTGAAGTAAAAAAAATTAGTTAAAAAAAGGAAAATTAATAAAACTTGGGGGTACGGATCTGATATGACGGTTTATATTAAATATAGATATTTATTGAATTCGAGTCATTCCTGCGCATCTTAATTATTTGACTTTTTGATGATATGTAGGTGATGGATTATGCTGGAAAGCAGAAGAAAATGAGGTGCATATTGAGAAAATGAAGACAGAATTAGAAGATAAGGAAGGAACAATCAAGTCTCTAAAATCTCAATTGGACTCATTGGAGCAAGAAAAGATTAAAAAGGAGAGAGAGTTTGATTTGTTGAGACAAAGCTTGAGAATCATGAATGGCAATAAGAGTTTACTTCAGACGAAAGAGAAGCTCTTGAAATCCAAAATTGTCAGATAATTAAGATTAACTTGTTGCTTTAACTTGTAAAATAAAATTCTCTATAATATTTTGTCAGTTAAGCAAAAAAGTTGGTCCCGCCTATGTGAGATTTACATATGTAAAGGTCAGACTTTACTTTTCCCTTCCTTTCCCCCCCTCCATTTTGCCTTTACTTGTTACTTTCAGAGATCTTAATTCGAATATGTATATGTATTTTTGCATACGTACTTCATGGTAATTTTATTATTTGCATAAAAAAGTGCAAGTGAATTCTATTTTTTAAATTAAAAAAAGAAAAGGGTAATTTATTTCTTGGATTGTGAGATAGACAAGAAAAGGAGAAGCAAGATAATGATTTTCTATTTTTGTTCTTTTTGAAATTTCCCTTACTTTCTTGTGTAGATGCAAACAAATTCATATCTGAGAGAAGCTTCCATTCACCTTATGATAGAGCAATAAGCTAAAAGTGTTGCCATGATTAATAATTAATTGGCCATTTCCACCTAATTCTCTGTTCATCTTTCAGTTATCATTATTATATATTTTTTAATGTGGAAATAGGTAAATGAGGCATTAATCCAACTTTGAATAACAAGAATAAAATTATTTTCTTTAATCAACACTATTATTAGTCAAATAGAAGGGATTTGATATTGTTTTAAAGACTACAATTTATATTTAATCCTTTAACTTTACACAAATATTCAATTTGGTCCATTAACTTTAAAAAATATATTTTAATCATTTAATCCTAAAATTATTAGTATTAATGATAATTTTTTTGGTAATAATCATAATTATTTTAAAAATTAAAGTTAATATGTTAGCATTTGAGAATATTTTATTAACATTCAAGATATTAATTTCATCATTTTCTGTTAATAATTTTAGGATTCAAGGACTAAATATACTTTTCAAAAATAAGGAATCAAACTGAAATTTTTTATAAAGTTAAAAGACTAAAAATATATTTTATCTATTATTAAAAAATTGAATTATAATTTTAGGAAACTACGATAGTTCCAAATATTGCATAATTCTTATAATTACAAAAAAAATCAATATAAATTCTACTAATAAAAAGATGGTTCAATTATTAAAAAAGAGCATGGTTTAAATCGCACAATAATGGGTAATTTATAAGAATTTTGTTTAGCACTTTAAGACACGTCTCCTTCTTTCTTGACATGCCTTTAAATCTTAACTTTTCCAAATCAGTCATCATCAATATTTAAGTAAAGCCCAGGGACTTTCACTGTTTTACTATTAATTTAATTTTCTAATTAATAAATAGTGGTTTTCCAGTTAGTCTAAACAATGCTCCAATCTGACCCTCTCAAATAGTTATATGAATATATATATATATATATATATATTGTTATTCGGACTAGTCATGTTTTTAAACGCAACAATTACTTTTATTTAGTAAAAGAAAAATAAATATGTAATAGTCAAATTAAATGTCAACAGAATGATAGATTTAAAGCAATTTTTCATTGGGATCGCATCCAAATTAAGTAGAGCTAATAATAAGTATTGCTTCAGGGGCAGAAGATGCTTCAATAGTCACTTGTTTCACAAAACAACAAACGAATTATATCTGTCAAGAAGGTCCCATTTCTGATAAAATATGTGTGTGAGGAATCTAAAGCATTATTGCTTCTGCTTTATGTCAATATTTATTTTAACTTTTTTTAGTACAAAATTAGCTTTCATGTCCCATAATGCTTTCTAGCTATCACATACTCGTGACAAGTTTCGCATATTTTGTTTTTTCCTTTTTTCTTTTTGCAAAAGTTTAAAATTCAAATTAACAAATAGTAATTCAAATCTCATTCTCTTGTGTACATATAAAGTAATTGGGGTCATGCTGACATCATTTATAGGGATCTGAAGTTTGACTGTTTAAGCAGTAGCTTAAAAATTAAAAAAAGAAGAAATATGTAAGTTCAATAATTTCACTATATTTTTAATTATTTTTCTAATGTTTTATTTTTTTAACCAAACTTGTAATTTTTTATTTGGTCCTTACAATTTGTTCAATTATAAGTATCCGTCTTTATATTCATAATTTATTAGTGATTTGTAAAAGAAATAACGGTAGTAGCTAATGATGTGCCTCCAACTTGGCATATACTAATTTTGCCACACATGTCCAAATAGAATCAAAATAAATCAGCTTACATATTATTTATGGATATATGGAGAGGGTCATGAGTGTAATAAATTTTTGTATTTTTACGTTGATCATAAATAAATGGGTAAAGTTGCATCAGTACTCTCTGATTTCATTTCCTAGGTACATATAGTATCCTGATCTTATTTTCTTAGTATATACAACATCTTGATATTATTTTTGAGTTACATCTAGTACCTTGATCTTTAGAATGCTATATGCACTAAAAATAATATTAAAGTGCTGTATGCACCATAAAAACAAAATCAGAGTGCTGAATACACCATAAAAAGATTATGATATAATAAATGCATCCAAAAAATAAGATCCGGGTATTGGATTCACCTTTATCCTTAATAAATTTTATTTTTCTAAAAACACTTTATTTTTTATTTTGTCTTAATTTACATATTGCTTAATTAACATTCATATCAATTATGATTAATTGATTCCTTATAATTGAGAAAACCGTAAAGATCTAAAGATCTACAGAAAGGGGAAAGAAAACATGATTAAAAGAAAGGTAAGATTATAAGACCTCATAAATTTAATTTCCACAATGTTATTTTTTTTAACACTGTCCTTAAGAGTATTCAAGGTTTTTATTCAATATAATTCAGCCCTAGTTGGTTTTAGTTTATTGGATTCTTAACACTACTTAATTTCTTGATGTATTTGTCCAAAGTTAATTAAATTTCCCTGTGCCGAAATCTATTGTCCTAGATTTGAAACACAAGTCTAGTTTTTTTTTGGTCAAAAAACACAAGTCTAGTTTATTTAATAAAAGGAAAAATATAATAAGTCAAATCCAAACATATGGACAGCTATCAATTTCCTTGATTGCGAACTATTGGAGGTATATTGGGTGAAAGGGGACATGTGACAACAATAATTACGAATGCCGTGAAATGCATCTTAATATGGACGGCTAGCTTAGTAATAATATTACAAATACTTTAGGGTGTTTTATGAACTTTAACTCAAAAATTCTAATACAATGTGATTTTTTTTTTTATGAATTAATACAATGTGGTTTTAATGAGTAAGGAGGGGGGGGGAATCAAAAGTCCCTGCTCAGCACTGAATGTCATTATATCAGTTGAAACAATGGTTTTTTTTTTTAATTTTGTTTTTTGGTCAGAGAAACAATGGTTTCAGAGTTAAGAGTTTAATCTTATTTAAATCGGGATCAACATAATTATAATTAAAATGATATGATGCCTAAAATATTGAAAAAATTATGTATAACCTTTAAAAAGTGATATTTAAATAAAAATATATTAATTCACAAATAAATAAAATAGTCATTATAAAACCATATATAATCTAAAGATACTGTTATTGAGGGCTGGCTTGATTTTTTGTTTTCAAAACCGTTTTTAATTTTAAAAAATAAAAAAAAACAAATGTTCTGAAAAAACAAACGTGTTTTTGGTTGTGCTGTAAAAAAAAAAAAAAAAAGAACTCAAAATTATCTTTTTCATGTATTTCTATTTTTTGTCTACTATATTAGAGACGAGGCAAATGACATTGTATTTTGAGAAAATTAATCTTTTACTGTATTTTGAGAAAATTAATCTTTTACTCCTTTAAATTTTAACTCATTTATAACTTAATCTCTCAACTATGACTCGGTGTAACTCATTCCATGAACTTTTAATTTGTCTATGACTTAGTCTCTCGAGTTTTCACTTTTTATATTATCATCGTTATTATTTATAATTTCATATGAGGCGGCGAAAATTCTTTCCAATTGAGTTACAACTGAGCTCCACATGTTCTTTTTTTGAAAAATTAAATAAAAGAAGCTTTAAGCTTCTCATAACTCCGATTTTTCGCATTCCATTCTGTTTTATGACTTGCACATCATGAAACCTAGACTTTATATTAAACCTCAAATTAGTTCTTAGTAACTAAGAACCGGATGTAGTATTAAGAAGATAGAGTTATAATAGATTAATCATGGTGTCCTAATCTAACAAGGCATAACGAAATTTAGTTAGACGACTTGGGTTTATAATACTTGCAAGAATTGAGTCATTGTCTGTTAGCCTATTCTTTTTTTCCCTTCTTTTCAAGTTAGAGTGACAGTCATTAATAAACCGAAGTTACAAGTAAGGATAAACCCGAAACTTCTCGCACAAGAGTTTTGGTTTTGATAGCCTACCTATTCTATTCAATATAAGAATGCAAAAGAGGCCTTTTAAAAAAATTATTCACTAATTTAAAACACCACTAATCCAACTATATAAGAGAAGCAGTTTGATAATTATTTAGTCAAAGATTTAAATTGAAATAATTAAGGGCACTTGGGCCCTCCTTCCTTGGTCTTCCAATTGTTATAGCAAGGACACTCTTCCTTGTGACCATATGTTCCTGAAGGCACACATAAACACTTCAGGCAACATTTATTGCAGAAAGTCAAACATGCCTTCTTGTACTGTGTATCTGAACATCGATAGTCACATGCCCCAGCACATTCTGAATCATTCCAAATTAATTAATTATCATTAGTATAGTTATATAATTCGCCGGTCAAAAAGTATAGTTATATAATTCTAATTAACCAATTAAAATATCACATTAATTGAATTTTATCAACATTTCTTATATATATGTAAAATTTTTATACTTACCTTCTGGGCGAAGTGATCCTTCTCCACCAGCCTGAACGTTTTTAAGAAAGGAAATTTAAGAAAAACAAATTTAGATTTGCAGTCATATACAAAGATATATATAAATTGCATTCAAATTTAAAATGATCAATAAATGTAATGATTGATTAATAATTTATTAAGGGTTTCAAACACAATGGATTTAGTAAATGTTTTAAAAGAAGTTACAATTTTTATCCAAAATATTAATAACTAATATGTGTGTGTAATATAATTATTGGGTTGGATGGCAAAAAAAATTATCATTATTGGATATATCATGGCTTAAAAAATGAAACAATAAATAAATTACATATTAAAAGTCCATAGAAACAAATCCATAAATTCTCAGTGGATTTGGATTTAGCAAAAGATGAATAGAACAAAAGAGAAGCAGCTGCAAGATATACAGTAAAAAGCCAGCCATTTGCATTAGTAGAACATTATATTTTACTTTGAGCAATTATGAAAATTGGTCTCTTATCAAATCCAAATCCATTCGTTATTACATGTAAAAAGTTAAAGAAAAAGCCCTAAAAAATAAATCCAAAAATAAATAAAACACTAAATTAAAAACAAAAATGAAAGGAGAGATCACAAGAATGGACTCACATGAGCAACCTGAATGACAAAAGAGGCAGACAGGAATACAAGAAGAAATGTAGAACGAAGAATCACAGAATTTGCCATAATGCTTCAATAACTCAATTTTTTTTGGCCTCTTCAACAAAATTGAGACTTCAAATATTTCAGAATGATCAATTTATAGAGGGGGAATGAATTGAGGAATAGTTAATAAATTCATTGGTATTAATGACAATAGATTTTCAAAATATTATTTGACTTTCAACCAAAAACAAATACAATGAAATTGTTAAAAATGAATTTTTCATTAAGAGCATTAATTACAAGATTCAACTAATCAAGGAACCCAAATAATGACATACACTGAACAAAATATAATGAATCTATGGACTTATTTGTTTTTCTTTACCATTACTTTCAAAGAAAATGTTGGAATTCCTTTTATATTTTCAAAAAAAAATCTTAATTCATTTGATGAATTAATCAATGCTGTCTTGAACTTTTAAATTTGGTGAATATTATTGGAAAAAAATAATAGTTAATGTTCTCCTTCATTAGATAAGAAGTCTTCTATAAGAAAATTTTGGTCTAAAATATAAGAGGTTGATAAAGTAATTAATAATAGTTTTTCATTTTTATTCTTTGTTACGAGAAGGAGAGAGGATAAAATTTTACAATCGCATTCTTTAATAAGGGTAAAATAGGTAACTTTTATCAATTTAAAACACATTTGATGGTTTAACTAACATTCCTTAATTTAGAAGAGGATAGATAATATTATGAACCAGATGGAGCATTTTACAATTTAGAAGAGGATAGATATATAAATTTCTTAGAGAAATAATTAAGAAACGGACGAACAATTTCTCTTATTCAGCACTAATTTTTTTTGCCAGCTCTTGTTCAGTAATCACTCCCCCTCTCTCTATTATAAAGTATAACTTTCGGTCCTTAATATAAGAGCTAGATAACTAGTTTGCGAATATTAAAAAATTAATTAAATAGTTATTTGTAACAAATGATTATTATCTTTTCTAAAATACAATTGTTAATTATGTGCATTAAATTGAAATCTTTTAACATGTGCAATCACTATAGAGACTACTTGAAAAAAAAAAGATTAAATATAGAAAACACATTGAATTAGGTCTTGCATTTAGAACAAAATTAAATATCTAACTAGCTCTTATATTTAAAACTAGAGGTAGTAGTTGTTATGGCTAAAGGAAATAAACATCATAAGGAAACATTAAATTGTTTAATGTCTATTATCACCCATTAATTGTTAATAAGACATATTTGTTGTGTAGATATATAGTATAAATGTTTTTGAAAGATTGTAATTAGTTTTGAACATTGAAAGCTTAATGATATGCACAAGAAAAAGATTAAAGGAATAAATTATATAGAGCCCATAAATATGTGGAGAAACTAAAATTTTAAAATAACAATATTATCCATTAACGTGAACAGTTAATGTCACTATTTTAATACTCAATGTTAGGAGTAATATTACTACAATTTTAAACTTTTGAGGTAAATTTGCACCCCAAAAAAACTTTCAAGTGCCTAGTACTTCTGAGTAAAATTTTTATGACAAATTTACATTTTAACCCTTGAAGAACGCAAATATAGTTTATGATTAACAACCGATATGAAATACAACTCCATATAATTTTTTATATTTTTTACCGACATTTTTCTAATATTCTTTCTTTCCCCATTAAGGGAGGCAATAATTAATAAGGAATAAATTGGCAATAAGGTAAAAAACAGTTGCTTTTACCTTTGTAAAGTGACAACTTGTTTCTTTTCATTCTAAAGCTGGAATTTATATCCGTCTTCCATTAGAATGGTCTGAGCCAGTTGACTGCTATGCATCTGAATGCATCTGAATAATTCCTCTTTCAAATTAGAAAATACCATTAGGCCTTAGGATTTTGCTAGAAACTTACTAGGGTCAGCTGTGAGGTAGTTTTTTTTTTTTGGGTCAAAAGCTGTGAGGTAGTTATAGGCCTTTGTCTGATTCTGTTTTAATTCTTTTTCAGAATAGTTTTATGAAATTGTTTTTTTTTTCAGAATAAGTTTTAAGAAGAAAAAATTAAAAAAATTGCTTGGATGATTGTTCTAAAAAAAAACATATTCATGAGTAAAAATTATAAAAAATTGCTTAAAATAATTGTTCTTAAATCAATTTCAGCATCAAGCAAACTGGAGAGTAGCGAGTTCTAATTTAAAACACGAGAGCTCTAACCATCAAGCGTTAAAAGTAGATAGAACTTCCGTTTATTATCCAATTTTATAAAACAAAAAAAAGATTTTACTGAACAAAAAAATAAAAATTGTTCTTATGTTTTTGTTTTTTGAAACAGACTATCGCTTTTTTTCTTGTTTTAGAAAACATTTAACTGAAAATTAATTATTAAACAAGATTTTTTTAAAAACAAAAGACTGTTTTTAGCTTCTGACTGTACCATCTTAAATTCCTCAAACTGACTCTTCGAATAATAGTTGTCACTCACGAGCACGTACATGCTATTACATGTAATCAAAGTTATTTGTAATAAAGTGAAACAGCGTCCAATAACTTTATCTTATTTTCTAGACGCATGTATCACCCTCATCTTATTTTTTTACGTTTCCAACACCCTGATCATATTTATAATATATTCAACACTTTAGACCATAAATAAGATTAGTGTGTTAAATATAACTGAAAAAATAACATCGACGTGCTGGATGCTTAGAAAAATAAGATCAAAATACCACGTGCTACTTTATCCTTCATAATAGCGAAGTGTTATTTCGCTGGAGCTTCCCCCACCTGAAATTCTTGATGGTAGCTGTCATTCACAAGCATGTACTTATTACATATAAGCAAAGTTGTTACATATAATAGTGAAGATTCAGCGAAGTCCCCATACTGATTTTTGGATAGTAATATTCATTCTCAAGCATCTACTTGTTATTACAGGAAAGCAAAATTGTTATTCCTGATAGTGAAATTGTTATTTAGCTGTAGAATGCTACCACGTTAAAATCACTAACCTGAATTTTTTGAATCTTAGTTGTTGTATTTTTTATTACGTGTAAACAAAGTTGTTATTTGTAATGTAGAATTTTGTTATTGAATTCAAAATTGCTACTGAATGATATTTGCCATACACAAGCATGTACTTGTGATTTCCTCTTACGGAAGCTGTAATCCTTCTTCTGTAATTATTAGTGGCCCTATAGTCAAAATACTTTTCAGGAACGGAAAAGCTGCGGAATCATATTCCACCCACTCACCCAGAACAAACCCTTCCTTAATAATTCTCTAGTCCCCGGAGAGCTCCAGCCGTAGGCGAAATCCGACGGCCAAAATTCAGGTGTTAGTGTCGGAATTTCAGCCGTGGCAGCTCCATTTAAATAAAATAAAGGGCATTTATATAAATGTGGTGAATATTTTAATTCCATTTAACTCCTAAAGATTTTATTGGTCTTAGGCCATTTGGAAGGACTATTTTGTCTATTTGCCTATTTCAGCCGTCCTTATGTGTCATTCTCTCTACGAAATGAACATCGACAAGGAATACAAGCAGTAATGAAACGATATCCCATTATCATATCAACTAAGCACTTCGACTACTAGTTACTAGACTACAAAAAGCATGTCCTGTTGCCCATATTTTATAGTATTGAAACTGAGATCAGTATCCTGACATCTAAACCCTAATAAAAACTTAAGGTCCGCACTGTTCATTTTTCTCACTTAGCAGGATCACTTTTTTGCTGTGGAGCTGCGACAGAAGTGGGTGAAAAAGGATCATAAATCTGGTCAGAAGGATGCAGTGGTCTACCAGAAGTCGCCAAATGATTGTTGCCGAACCTCTGATTTGGAGGCAAGGGGATTTCTGGCCACCTCTGAGCAGGATGATTCTGTCGAATCTGCATGTTTCCGGCCCTTGGAGGTCCAGGACTGGGAAAATTTGCCATTTGAGGGGAAGGAAAAAAATTCCTCATGGCCATTTGTGGGGCTGCAGACCTAGGATCAGGTTGACTGGCAAATGGTAATGCAGTGGGTCTGGATGGGATTGGGAGGGAACCGGGTCCACCTCCAAAGGGACCCACATATGGAACATTTTTAGTTTGATCCACCTGGTTGTGCATTTGTGTTCTTGGAAAGATTTGATTGACGGGTTGATTAGGAACAGCAAACCCAAAAGATGGTGGCCGAGGACCAGAGGATAGCTCTCTTCCACCACCCTGGGTAGCAGTGTTTGGTCTGGAAACCACTTGAAAGTCTGCATTCGGCCGCTGTGGTCGGAAAGTAAAATTTCCAGAATTTGGACCCGACAAAGGTGGCGGATTTCCGGGGTTATGATAAGTGACTCCAGAAGCAGGGCTAGGGATTCCAGACTGCTGAGATAACGGAAGTGAAGTAGGTACTCTAGGCGAAGGGAATAAACTGGATCCCGATAAATGATGTATTGATGAATAAGTTGGCCCTAGTGGCTGCATTGGTCCCAGAGAAGAGGGCAATCCAACGGGAGTCCCTGCATGATGGGGTGGAAAAGTGGTAGAATGTGATGTGCTTGATACTGGTGGCTTAAATGCAACATCAGGTTGTACATGTAGAGAAACCGGTCTATGAGGAGGAACCACTTGCCCCATATTGCCAGGACGAGGAGACACTCCAGCTAGTCCAGAAGGGGCACCAACAGATGTCAGTGACCGGTCAGGTACCGGTGCAGGCAAAATACCAGACATAGGTGGAAGCATCAAAGGCACTGATGTCTGATGTCCTACTGGTGCTGGTTGGCTTCGATTTAAGGGAAACGAAGCTGAAACATTTGTTGGAACCGAGGAAGTCTGCCTAGATACCACAGAAGGATTTCTTGGCGGACCAGTGAGTCCCACAGGACTTGTCTGGGTCATATGTGAATGCTGGAGATGTTCTCTTGCTGGTTGTGATTGCACAAGAGGTCGATTTGGAATAACTGAGTTGAATCCAGTGACAGTTGCATGTTGAGCAGCAAAATTTGAGGTGACGATTGAAGAATTCATTGATTGCGATGGGAAATGGAGGGGCCTTGGAAGGCCTGAAGGATTTGGAGAAGCTACGTTACCAGAAGGAGCAAACGCTGGGTTTTGAGATGAAATGGCTGAAGACCATGGACCGGAGTGTTGAAAATGAGCTCCAAGCGTTTGTGCAACTCCAGCTACTGGTTGTGCCACCGCCATGGCCTGGTTTTCCATTGATACAGAAACGAGATGAGAAGGGGCATGGTTCACGTTTTCACCAGGAACATTGGTGTTGTCCACAGAAACTGACATTGCGGTTGCAGAAGCAGTAGCTAAATTCCCCTGCACAATGGACTGCAACTGTTATTCCGAGCCATAACAATCAAAATAACAGAACAATGTTGAAAAGGATAAAAAAACCATGTTAAACCATAACTAAGACAACCATAAATAGTAAATCATAAAGCTTATCATGTAAAATTGTGAAACTTACAGTAACAGAGGTGATTAGCAGTTCAATGATGGACACTGCTGCATCCACTTTTTCAAAACTATCAGCTGATACAATAACATGCATCTCTTCATAAGTGTCGTGCACATCGTTTCCTGGTTTAATTTCAGCCTAAAATTGAAACAGTTAAAGCATAGGCGAAGTTCTAGTTACTTCTTATCAAGTTAAATTACACAACATCAAAATAAAATTGAAAGGATAAGTGACAAGATAATTTTTTTTTTTTTTTTTAAATATTGTTTGGAACAAACAAACCTTCTCTCCTGCTTTGATCCCATGAACTTCAATCTTGGCCCCAGTTTCCTGCGTACAACAAAGAAGAGTAATCTTTAAATTAAAACATATATCAATTTAGTAATCTCAATCAGTAGAATATACAGCCTGCAGACTGCAGATCATTAATATTACATTTAATGCAAGGTAGCATGAATTATAAGAAAAAGGAACTTAAGGGTGTTACCTTTTCTACCCGCTTATGATTATCACCTTCAGGCCCATATATTAGGCTGATAAAATTGAATCCAGGATATTCTTTTACCTGTATAAATAATATTGCGCATAGAATCGTGAATAACTAGAGCATTAGAACTTCACACTCAGATAACTGAGACATTATCCATTTGACAAATTGCTACAGATTGTTTTCACATCAAACTAGATAAAAACATCCCATTTACATTGGATGTAAGTTTCAGAGTACAAAAAAACAAAAGGAAAGTGTAGCATGTCGCTTCAGAGAAATTTAATAAAATATCGAACAGTTCATAAATAGTAGTAGGATTCAAGTCTAAGCATGTCAAAAGTGAAAGAGATGTCATAAATAGTATCAACTCTTCAGAGCAATAATTATATCCTACCAATAATATTGCAATCATGGAGAAGGATGAAGAAGTTATAGCACCAGCATGCAAACAGCAAGCAAGATCAAGTCAATGAGCAGTCCTTGGTCTTTCAAGATATTATTATCATGCACATAATGACTAATTCTACAGTTACTGTTCCGTTTAAGAGTCCAGCTCAATCACACATACAGCCAAGTTTTCAATATCGCCTCAACTCTCGAGAATATAATAAGCAAAAACATGAACCTTCAAGAAAGCAATCATGGAATATTTATTGTAGATATGGGAAAAATGAATGCAAATAAACTTGCCTACACATCCATGGATTAAAGAATACTAGAAAATTAAGAAATACTCCTCTGGTCCTTAAGATAAGACCTAATTATCAAGTTAATTTTGATCCTAAATATAAGACCTATTTATCATATTTATCAATTTTTCCTAAATTACTCCCAGGAATACTCCCTCAATCATAATCAAGTGAGTGAGAGAGGGAGGATATTAAGAAAGATGATTATGATGTTTTAGGAAAAACATTTAATATTTCTTATAATTAACTAACTTATCTAACTTCCTTAATATAATCAAATTAGTTAAATAGGTCTTATACTAAGAACCGAAGGAGTACCAAGTATTTCAAGAATAATAAAAATACTGTTTCTCATTGACCTTCATATTTCTGTCAATAAAATCGGGCAGTTTATTCAGAAGCAAATTCTTTTCTCCTCTTTCTTTAAATCTGAGAAGGGTGATGTTATCAATGACTTAACACTCTTCACAATACTTATAGCAGCCACAGACGACATGCATGGTTTGAAAAAGATTATAGGAACAAATTTATTATGCCATGCTTGTTACATTTAAGTTGGAGTGACAGTGCCCAAATGAAATACACCAATCCACCGATGTTTAAGCTAGACCAAAACAGTCTCATAGACATGGAAAACTATCTCTAACTAGTCGTTTTCATGAAAATCATCATATCAACTGAGACCACATGAAGTAGTAAAATAAGGCCCAAAGAACCTCTCCCTTGCCCTTAATGATCATAGATTACATAAATTCAAAAATAGAGAAATACTCAGTATCTTGGCAGATCAGTTCAAGGAAAGAGAGAATTATGCAGGCCATGCTAGGCACATAGAAGATTAAAAAAAAAAAAAAATATGGAAATGTATCTTTATTTTCCATCAAAAGGGCAGGGAAACAATGGCATTTAAATAGAAAGAAGATCCAACAAAATTGTTAGAATAGATACTTACAGGCAGCGGGACACTGGCTTCTTTCAGTAATGGTTTAAAATCGAGTGGAGGCTTGTAACTTGGATCTAATCTTAGTATTTCACCTGGATATTATTTAGATCAAGATTATCCTAAATGAACAGCATAGGATTCTAAGGAATATATATATTTATTTAAAAACAAAAAAAAGAAACTCTTTACAAGTGCGTCTGTGTGTGCGTGTAAAGAAAAGATACATTTCAAGGAACACAAACCTATTGCTTCCCGCTTTTCATGCTCAAGCATTTCTGACTTCTTATATAGCTTATTCATATAAGAAAAAAAATACACATCAGTAACTTAAATAAGAAGTAAACAGATAGCAATAAAAATTACAAGCAGAAGAGAACATGGTCGACGTTTAACCTTGTCATCAATTTCAGTATTGGGGTAGCTATGAACTAGATCTTCAGCTCCTAATGATGAGCCTTCAGTATCTTCAACCTCTGACTTCTGTGATTTTAACTGATGTGAAATTTGATCCACACGAATCTAGAAAAAGGAGAAGCAGTGTCCTTATTGATGGTGTAAAAAGAAAAAAGGCTCAGCTGATTACTTATGCTCTCTTATTGGCTCCAACTTGTAAGGAAATTTTAAGAACTAGCAGAGGAGCATTATACATTCTACACTGAAGCATAACAATGAATACATCTGTACCAATCTTAATCAAACCTTTTCTCTTTTTAGCAAACGAAATATTTGAACTTGTGAAGATAACAAAAAGTAACTGATGTAAAGCAAATGAAGTGGTGCAGACAAAGATGTGACTTTCACTCCAATAAAATCAACAAAATGAAATCTCAACCTTTCAAAAATATTATATTAAAGAAACTAATAATGGAATATAAATAAGAAAAATGAGAAAGACCTAATGTCAAACTAAAACAGAAATAAAATAGAAGTTAATAGAAAGAATTCCTAAAAGGACCTTTAAAGCTAAAGTTCTCCCTCTTCTAACAGCAGCATCCTGTGTCAGATCAGGTCCCCATTTTGTTTTCCTATGAATTTGTTTAGAACTTTCTTCTTTGGTAGTTCCAGTGGCCCCGTGATTCTTGGCCCCCTTGAAGATTGGAACTAATGAACCAGATAATTTGTTTTTTGGAATGACAAATCCAGATTTGGCAGCAAGCATGGAAAGCCTTTGGCCACCATTAGGTGCCGCAGATGAATTGAACCCAGACATCTTTATAACATGAGGTTCAGCAGATGTTGAATCAACCTTTACATATATTGCTTTATGCAGCCACTTTGCACGTATGAGTCCAACAAGCAAACCATCGGCAACAAGGGTAAAGTCAACCTGCCATGGCAGCACATTAATTGTCACTTAGGCAAATGCAAAACAGCACCAATCTGAAAAGATGCGCCGATGAGGATTATATCCAGTAGTTCTTCCACCAAATGACTTGCAATGCAGTTTGGTAGATTGTAAAAACAAGAAAAATCTTAAAAATACTGAAGTTGGAGATTTGATATTCAAGTGAGGTTTTGGTATACCACAATTCAGCGCCATAACTTATATATGTTTGGCAACAAGCTCATCTCAGAAAAATCAACAGTTCCCCATGATCAACTTCATCCAAATTCATTTCCTAGCAATTTCTGTAAGAAAACTAGTCATTATTTTTTTTGGGGGGGGGGTTTTAATGTTTGAAAACGAATGCTCATGTTAAAAACGTCACATTAAACCAAAAAAAAAATAAATTTAAATCTAAATTAGAAGACCGACGATGCACAAATCAACATCATGGCTTATGCATGCATATCGTATGGATGCTAGAAAAAAATACTGACAGCAGAAGCAGACAAACAAACAGTCACATTATCAAATCATGTCACAGCAGGCCAAAGAATTGGCACAATTATCATAAGGAATAAGAGTTTTAAAGTTCCTCTTTTCTTGTTTCATTTTAGGTGTGGCACTAAGAAGCTTACAACTAGCGTCTTTCTTAAGCAGCAAAAAGTGTAATAGTCATCGTACAAGGAAATATAAAAAATTTCATGCCTGAATAGATTTAGAAAATAATTAGCAGCAGTGACCATAAAATACAAGTTGTGATTATCCCTATTGGCTCTGGGCTTTAGCACAAATAGAGGGTACAATGGCGATGTTATTAAGTAAATAATGGAGTATTTCAATTTCTTTTAGTATCCTCATGCAGGAAATAGCCTTTCTCGCAAGAGTTTCAGAAGTTCCCTGGAAAGACGAGAGGATCTTCAAGGACCACACTGCAAAATAAGAATTTTTTGGAACTACGAGACAGGCAAGTTAAAGACTCTGATGAAGTCTTAAAGGCTTGAGTATGGCAATTGGAGATGATTAAGGGGCAAAGGTTGTGCTAGGAATCTCAGTGAGATGATTCCTCAGGCTAAACCCGAATAGGGACCTAAATGTAAATTTAAAAAGTTTTACGCTGAAAATTAAGCAGTGATGAAAGCGGGCCTAAATATTTCAAAAAAAATTTAGAAAAATAGGAAATAAGGTTCTAAGACACATATGGGGTTAAAAATAATGAAAATGCCCATTGAGCAAATTGATAAAATTCTTAGGGTTTTTTGACTAATTATGAATATTAACCGAAATTAAATTATTTAAAACACGAGAAGGTCTCAGATAATTAGAAAAAAATGGGAAATAATATTTGAGGATTTATTACAAGTTTTAAAAATGATTTTACCCCTAGAAAGCAAAGAGGTTGGCTTTAACAGAATTTAAAATCTATTTATACGCTATTCAGGAAAAGTCAGAATAAACCGTCAAGAAGTTACTCTCTATCATTCCTTACTTCTCCTCTTTGGCAATTTCCCCTAAAGAACTCATCTCAAACTCTTAACCTTAGTTGGACCAATCCTAGTAACCCATTACTTTCTTAGGTAGAGTTTTTTCTCATACCAAGCTTTGCTTGAACCAGTACTCCGTTTAAGCTGAGAGAGAGTAATAGACAAGGAGAAGAACTAGATACCAGGAGGGGAGATAGAATGCAAGGTCTGCGGGAAGAACCATGGGGATTGGTCATGCGTGCTAGGACAGTATGTGTTATAGATGCAGCAAGCCTAAACACTTCGCTAGGGAGTACACCCGAGGTCGAAACATTTTAGACCCCAGCCTTAGGGATGAGTGTTTGCTCTCGTGCAGGAGGCTCATAAGATGCCCAAGAGAACACAAGGTACGATTTGTATTAGTAATTACCTTATGTGTTTGATGTATGATTTGGGTGCAAGCCACATGTTTATGTGATGTGAATATATAGGGCAATTGGGTCTCACTGTGGTCCCTTGTGGTGTGAATTATTTTGTCCACTCCCTTTGAGGTTAAAGCATGTTTGAATTGCATTGTCCAGTATGATCATTGTTACATTCCCCTAGCTTTGATATGCATGTCATCCCATGATATGGATGTTATTATTGAGTTTAGTTGGCTGTCTTTCCTGATAAACTCTTTGATTGTGAAAGGTGAGACTCCGATCCTTCCTCACAATGGAACAATCCTGTGAATAGAACTAACATTGGATGTTGTGATTAAGGATTGATAGATGTTTGGTGAAGGGTTGCCAAAGAAAATTAGAGCGCTACCAATAATAGGCTACAGGAAGCCGTGTGAGATGGAACACCTGGGAGACAAGAAATAAGGATTTGCCCTAATCCTCAGTGGTTTATGGGACGAAAGGAAAGAGTAGTGAGGAGGTAACCTGAAAAATAGGTAGCCACGCTTGAAGTAGATGACTTTCCCGCGAGAGAAAGGAACGATTGGGTAAGTGAGCATGGTAAGACATGAGTCAAGTTAAGAGACTCCCCTAAAGTGTAACGGTTGAGTAAAGTCATATAGACAGGGGTATGAGTTTGGACTCGAGTTAGGAAGCAGTACGACAGCCTAAGCCTCACGCAATGATGAGTTAGACGCCTGACCAAGATACCACATAGTAGAGAAAATTAAATGAATTGTGCCCGTTGTGTGATGTGACTTGAGTATGATGACCAGTGAACAGTAACCCTAAACAAATTGTAAATTTTCAATCCATGAGCTTGTTTAGTGATCTACTTGAACCGTAACGCTTCTAAATACGTACTACAGGGAGTTTAAGGAACGACATTTCAATCCTTCTCCAAAACACATGCTCTTCCTTCACAATAATAAGATTTCTTTTTTATTAGAAAACTGCACGTTGAAGGTTACGGAATTTCATCTCGCACAATCATTTTAAAAATATGTGCGCGTGTATTACTTTCAACCTCATGTCAATCACCACCACCATAACCAACACTATCACCATTACTACCTCTATCTCCACCACAACCTCCCCCATCGCACGTTGGTGTAGTGCCCTCCTTGCAAAACCACCATTATAACATTAATGTTCTTACTACTACCCCAACCTTAATAATTACAACTGTCACAACCATTGCAGACATTCCAACCAATTCACCAAACATGGTATTATTTTTATATGATAAACAAAATAATTATGTTATCTTTCATTGCCAAGTACAGCCTATACTTCACACAAGTGTCATAAGATTGACTAAATTCAGTTGACCTTGCTTCTTTTTCCTTGACTTGAAGTTCACCTTGCTTTAAGTCATGTCACATACAAAACCCTTGTTTTGAAAGATGATTGTTCTATTTTCTGCAAAAGAATGCCACAGCATCTTGCACATCTTCAGTAAATTTGTGGATGAGAAAAGTTCCTCCAATTTCAATGATCATGAAGCTCACTAAGCATAATGCCTATGACTCTGCTCTCCATGTTTTGTATTTTGTACAAACTCTCTTGTAATGTTTTCCTTTTTTCCTTTTCCAATTATGAACATCAAGGCTCCTAGGGACCACTAAAACTAATTCCATTGAATCTATAACTATTAATCCTCAATGGAATATTTATAGCGGTCATAAAGCCAAAAATTGACCTGTTGTGAGCAACAAGATGATGTTTGGTTGGGACATATTGGAGAACCCTGATTCGAAGTCTTGGGCATTTATTTGCAGAACTCTCATAAGACTGAAGGTAATCATTAGAATGGAGTAGGCCTTAAGGGCTCTGACATCCTAAAGAAGCTAGATTTTCTATGCCTTGATGTTCTACATTATTCCTTTGAAACCACTGTATATAGATAAGCCAAAATCCAAGCAATCAAATTCCAATAATCAGATTCTCATAGGGATGGATATAAATCAGATAAAGCTATCAAAATTCTAAGGAAAAAAGATCTGAGAATAGCTGAAACACAATCCGAATTATGCATCATATTACACACATGCACATGACGTTAAACAAAAAGATTCAACCTTTAGATTTCCAAATGAGTTTTAGAAGGCAAAAAAAGTTAAATTTAGGAGAATACATGAAAAGGGAAAGGATGCTTTCAGAATTTTGACTTCCTATTTTGGATAAAGAGATAGAAAATTAGGGTGACTGTAGGGTGACTATGGTCAAAGGCCCTAAAAGGGTTAATTTGGGGAGTGCAAAAGTCATTTTTTAGTTTTGCAAATTAGTCCCTTTGGCTCAGCAGGACGAGTGGAGAATTTTGAATTGAACTTGGCCCTTGGGGAAGGAGAGCCAACCTCTTGAAAGATTGGCAACCTTGTTCTGTTTTAGAGTGTGTAGTGCCATTGTATTGTGGTCAGTGTTCTGTTTTTTTTTTTTTTTTGGTTTGTAGCTGTTAGTTAATTGTTGTTTGTGTATTTGAGTGTAAGAGAGTGATGTGTGTGTCTTAAATCACCCTACCCCTTGTAATCTGATATAGTTATGCAGTAATATTATAATCAGTTTCATTTATTCCAATCTTTATTATCTATTTCTAGCTTTTAAGTCCTATTACAATAGAAGATCCTATCATACTCCTATGATATTGAGCGACAAATTTGGTGTCACTTAAGATAGTCCATTCGTTGATAAGGAAAGATATCAATGTCTGGTTGGCAAATGTACCTAGCACTCACACAAGACTTGATATAGCCTATGCAGTAAGTGTGGTGAGTCAATTCTCCAACCAAATTGTGGCAAAGTGGGCCTGCTGCCTAAAGGCTCAAAAACCAAATGCTTAACCTAATTTCCTATGTTTTTATTATAGAGAATATTTTGTAATAAATAGCAACGGTCATATTAGAGAAAAATCTGGTCATTATTAGTGTTCCATGATTTTAGGAGGAATAGAATCAAATCTGTATTAATTAGGAGGTATAGGATCAGATTTGTATTAATTGGGTTGATTCCTATTTCCCTTATATATCATGTAATCAGATCCTAAGTGAATATACAGAGAATTACTATTCAGAAACTTTCATGGTATTAGAGCCATGAGAAAGAAAAGCCTTCTCAATGTCTTTCAAGGCTGCACTGCAGGAGCCACCTAGTTTTACTGCCGATGGCAGTAATCTACCTCCTTCAAGGCAAGGTTCGGCTTCACAAGGTGACGGAACAGCTAGGAGTACACCGCTATTAGGTTTGCAGTTGGATGCCTTCTCTCAAATGCCTATTACCCATCATCAAAATGGGAACAATTACCTTCAATGGTCTTGCTATGTTCTCATGTTTGTTCGTGGTCACAACAAGGAGAAATATCTCACAAGATCTCCACCACCACCAGCTGCTATTGATCCACAA